TTATACACAGTCAGCTGTTGTTTCAAAGTAAAGGAGGGGAAAAGCTAGGCTTCTCACTAAACCGCATACATTTTATGAACGGAGTATAACAGTGAGTTTGATAGTGAAAGAAGACTTGTCTTCAGTTGTAAGATGTGAAGCTTTTTTATGCACCTTTCGTGTCCGATAGGCTACAATTGAGCACACTGATGTTTACATATTTTTTCCCCATCGTAGAGAGTTTGCAGTGCAGATTTACTCTATGACAACATGTTATAAAAAAACATCGTTCATTGTTCCACTTGATATTAATAGTTTTGCATGTGAAGTTAAAAGTAATCGGTAGTGACATTGAATCCGCCTCTTCTTATATTGGACAAAGAAATTCATAACGCATCATGAAAATTCCATTTTCTGAACAAAGTCCTCAACTGATCCATTAGGATTACAAATAATCTAAAAGTTATGTCAATTGTTATTCTAGAGACTGTATACATTATAATCATTGACAGTTAAAGCTCCTACAACTGATTCTTCAAAACTCATCTTTTGCACACTAAGCCCACAGAGCCTGTCACCTTTTTCATCAAGTAAACGTGTTGCTCAACATATCATAAGAAATGTAAACGAATGCGTAATATTCCATTTAGACGAAATCCGAGATTTAAACGTACATAAATTAGAATTCATCAGCTGGTTGAAAGGATTATCGCCAATTCGGGTCGCCAAGTGACAGTTTCCAGGTTTCAGCCCAATTCCGTGTTTCCATGTGACCTTGTGCCCCCCCCCCCAAGTTGCCCCCGGGAGTTTGGCTTCGTCACAGCCCAATGTGGTCTGCCTTGGGCTCCGTTACCCGCCTTTGCTCGGTTGCCGTTTTACGATGCTTTTGATTTTTATTTTCCCTGCGCTGAAAGACGTTTACTGCGTTTTAAAATAAGCTCGTTCAATTTCGAGAGGTATTTATGTCAGGGGGTTATGTTGTATTTGAAATTAACAAGTTATTACGGTGCAAAAGCATTTTGAAAAAGGAAGTGATAAAAATCTTGACTTTAGGTTAAACTTGGAGTAATATTATTTTTAAGTTATGCACCTAGCCCTAGCCACTCCTAAACACATTAACCTTTTTCATATACAATGGAAAATTTCTAGGTGTTAAGATGGAACTAAACAATTTTCAACAACTCCATACAAGTCACTAGGAATCATGTTTATTCAAATCCAATGACTTTAAACTTGCATAAAAACTGTTAATTAACTACTAATTGCCGCGTAAACCACACCATAGCCGTGTTGTAACCGTTCCATATTACCCATTTAATTAACATTTCCCTGTTAAAATACCGAGTTTGTATGCTAAACGCATCTAGCATAAAGACAAGTAATAGCAAAGCATTGTTTATATCGGCAGTTACGCGCTGCTGGCAGCAAACATAGGCGCAATGAATAACATTACCGTCTTGTACTGGGAAACGTATCATTACCCTCAGTTTCCATCGTATTAGCGTCCATCGGAGGTTATTGAGGAGTTTACACAGTTCACGAGCCAGGGTGTGACCTAATGCAGATACGCAGATTGCAATAACTATTGTAAAGTGAGTTAACGCTTTTAGTTAACATGTAGCTATTGGTCAATACAGTAGTTGGGTACGAACTGCGACGTAGAGCCGATATCGCGCCTAGTTAACACGTACCAAGCAACACAGGCACACGTTAACACGTAACTCTAGCTCTGCTGTGTTATGTAGGTCTGGACACCTAGTGATCGTAGTTAGGTACGCACTGCGACGTAGAGCCTATATCGCGCCTAGTTAACACGTACCAAGCAACACAGGCACACGTTAACACGTAACTCTAGCTCGGATGTGTCATGTAGGTCTGGACACCTAGTGATCGTAGTTAGGTACGCACTGCGACGTAGAGCCTATATCGCGCCTAGTTAACACGTACCAAGCAACACAGCCACACGTTAACACGTAACTCTAGCTCGGATGTGTCATGTAGGTCTGGACACCTAGTGATCGTAGTTAGGTACGCACTGCGACGTACTGACGATATCGCGCCTAGTTAACACGTAGGCTACCAAGCAACACAGGCACACGTTAACACGTAACTCTAGCTCGGATGTGTCATGTAGGTCTGGACGCCTAGTGATCGTAGTTAGGTACGCACTGCGACGTACTGACGATATCGCGCCTAGTTAACACGTACCAAGCAACACAGGCACACGTTAACACGTAACTCTAGCTCGGATGTGTCATGTAGGTCTGGACGCCTAGTGATCGTAGTTAGGTACGCACTGCGACGTAGAGCCTATATCGCGCCTAGTTAACACGTACCAAGCAACACAGGCACACGTTAACACGTAACTCTAGCTCGGATGTGTCATGTAGGTCTGGACACCTATTGATCGTAGTTAGGTACGCACTGTGACGTAGAGCCGATATCGTGCCTAGTTAACACGTACCAAGCAACACAGGCACACGTTAACACGTAACTCTAGCTCGGCTGTGTTATGTAGGTCTGGACACCTAGTGATCGTAGTAAGGTACGCACTGTGACGTAGAGCCGATATCGCGCCTAGTTAACACGTACCAAGCAACACAGGCACACGTTAGCACGTAACTCTAGCTCTGCTGTGTTATGTAGGTCTTGACGCCAATTAAGAGAGTCTGATTTAATTGCTGATACAAAGCTTTAATAACAGTCCGCCGGAGACACGTGGCCTTCTAATGGGTTGACGTTTGATCGAACGTGACTAGTTGTCGAGGCCCAAGGCTCCTGCACCTGATGAGTCCTGCGTCCTGATCCTCATCTGATCCTGATTCTGCGCAGCTTGCTCGAGAAAAGCGTTCTATTGCTCTTCCGCTTTCAGATATTTTAGTACGTAATGTTGCTGATCAATGTCATAACTTGGTGCTTTAGAGATCCACAAAGTGGTTTATATTCTATGGAAGCTAATCCTTCCGCATACTCATACGGATACGATGACATCTAAGTTGACCGGAAATCACAAAATCGCCAATCAGAACTGTACATGGTTACAGTAAATATTTAGAACATTGTTTCTAGAGGTTCCTCACAATGGATGAACCATTATTTTTACCATTCCCTTAAACTACTCTCCAAACTATTCTCCACGACTGTCGCAACTCCAACGGACAACCATTTCCATTTTTCTCAGAATAATTATCCGCAACCGCCACACGCCACCATACACCATACAGGTATTATTAGCTATCGCGCCCGCACCCGCGATACATAAGATAGAACTTTTCAACTAATTAAAGTAGGAAAGTTTGATCGGACAAGCCCGTGGTCTAGACCCCCTCTCTCCCCCTCACCCCTGTCTACAACCGGTCAGGGAGAGTAATGGCGGATCAAATGTCTCGACTGGCAGGTTCTCAATTAACCGACCGGCCCAGTTCTCTGCGCGGATAATCCAAAAACTGCACTCGATGTAAGATGTGAGCCCCGTCGTCTTATAACGAGTGCGGCGGTCTTATAATAGGTGAAACTGTGCATAGAACTGATCAGTGATCAGTCCAAACATTTACAAAAAGAAGGTAACCGGTAAACCCCCCCCCCCCTTCATACCTCACGAATTTGAGGTCATATTACGTTTCATTGGTTTAGATCAAACAATGTTGAAAGAAAAGATTAACTTGGGCTCTACAATATACTTTACGGAGCTATAATCGAGATTGGTTTTGTCTTAACTATAGTAGTGCCTAATTCTTACAACTACAGTATTTAAAAATCACTAAGACCATCCTAGTTTGGTATATCAGGTTTTAAAACTATTTTATCAACGACCGTTTTTTAAAGTAGCCGTTTCAGTACAGTTCTTAGAATAAAAAGTTTCACATAACAGCATTTTTTACTTTCATAACAGCGTAGTTTTACTCATAACAACACGGTTAACGAGGTTCAAGATTGAGAGAGAAGAAGTAAAATTGTAATGATTCAAACTTCAACTAATCAGCTGTTAAGGCCAGTTTAATTGTTGAGTGGTTCAATTAGTGTTTGAATGTTTCGTTGCATCACTGTCAGTGGCAATGAGAGGTTATGAACGAAAACATAACCTCTCATAGAAGTTATGAGTAGTGGTTTTTAGTTTAGTTTCATTATAGGCTATCTATCTTTCTATCTATGTGATATGTGAAAATATTATTTTAAATGGAACAGTCAATAGCCACTTTCTTCCCTTAATAGTCCCGGTACTGAAGCGGTGGTATTTGATGATTGAATATACCAACACCATCCTAATTTTATCATTGAATCTAATGCAAAGAGCAATGATGTTCAAGATTAAAGAAGTTATATTGCACCGTTACCCACTTTGCAACGAATGTAACTATTAGGCGCAATTAATTATAAACGCGAAAGCTAACAACACGAGATTGTTAGCTTTAACTACTAAGGTTTACAAGGTTTAATTTGTATTAACGCATTTTATTAGGGTTGAATCTCGATTTTATGCGATGGCGTTTACCATGTACAGTCAAAACGGGAGTTATACACGTAGTCCTAGCTGGACCTTATATGGATATATGCGGGCAACTACTTAATTAACCTTTATAACAGTTCGGTTAGGATGGATTTATTTAGTCAAATAACGTATTGATTATACTGTATTTTGGAGTGAATTTATTTAAACTTCATTTATTTTGTAAGGTATTTAAAAATAATTTTTCATACAACCAAAAACACTAAACAAATTTTCAAAAAATGTTATATAAAATTTCAAAAGGAGTGAGAAAAACGTTAAATAGTTGTTACAACACTCGCTGATTAATAAAGCTTCTAAAACTATTTTTTTCGAAGTTACTTCATAAACGAACTAGTAGAACTGCGAGAAAATATATCTCTGTGTAACTAATTTTAAATAGGTTTTGTACCTTAACATAGCTTCTTCAGTAAATTTTACCAGCACGATTCTTTTGCTCACGCTTTGCATTTTTCAACAAACAAACTATACAAACAACATTTAGTTCTAAAGAACAATCAAAATAATATCTTACCGTGGGGCACATCTTGCACTGGTACTTCCTGCCGGAGCCGTTGTGGGTGACCACGTGGTGCTGGTCAGGACCCTTGGCAGCCAGGGGGTGAGGGACGATGAGGGTCGCTGCCCCGTGGGGAGGCGAGGCCGAGGAACTGCTAGAACTGTGGGAGCGGGCGGCGCCACCATACAACCCTCCCAGGCCTCCAGGAGGATCCATCCGTCCATCGTCCACCCCTGCAACACGGGTTGGCGAGAATGAGACTTGGAGGTTGTTGGGAAGTTGTGGAGTTTGGAACGGATTGTAATCTAAATTACTTAGTCACAACAGTTTGCAACGATAATGCCAAGAGAGTGTGCTTCCATATAAGGTTGTTGGAATTACAATCATATTCATGTATGAAAGGGAAGAGGTAACTCATGATGTTATGTATAGTAGTTACAGCATACCAAACAAATTGTCGATGAATAATATATGTACCGAAAGCAGGATGAATCAGACATGTAATGGATGCTACTTAAAATTGAAGCGGATAATGTCTTGCAAAAATGTTGTTTGGTTAGTGAACTACTGTAATTTCTTTTTACATCTTAACTATTCAATCTTCAAATACACTAAATAAGTTAACCCTTAGTTTGGGGCTCTCAAAAACCCAGTATGACGTAATTTTTAGTGGTAAGGCGGTGGTATTATATTTTAGTTTAGAGGGTGGCAAACGCTTCGAAGGAAACACGTTTTTTACTCCAAAAACTTTTAGTTATTAGGGGATGGCTTGATTAGGACGATGACTCCACGAAATCTGACACGCTAACCATTAGACTACAAATTGTAACATTTAAAATGTTTTTATAACTTTCAAACTTTTTACGCAAATTGATATGCAGAACTACAAAACTCTGACTTTTATTCCTGTTAATTTTGTCAACTAACGAAAATATTTTAAAACTCAAATAGCTAAAAAATACATTCGCAGTTAAAACCTCCGCATGATAGTGTGCTAATCTGCACCTCATTACTATTATAGTTCTACATAACATTTACTGCTGTAGTTTCTCTTTGAGTCGGTGAGTCGTAAACGACAAAGTAGAAGTTGTTACACGATCAATAAAAGTTGAATCGATGACTGGAACCGTTCATAGATCAGGTTTGACTTCTCACTTTGCCTTAAACAGAACACTACTTCAACAGCTGCGATTATCTAATGTAACGAATAGTTGACTAGATAGGCGAGTGTGAACGATACTCAGCTTGGAAAGGAATAATAAAATCTATGGTTAAAGACACATTTGTATCCTGAATTGGCTAACAAGCTATAGAATGTTCAGTAGTACATGATATCCAGGCTATTAGTCTGATGTACTATTATAGTCGTTCTAGTTAAATCAACTCAAAAATTAGGGGTTTTCTTTGAAGGTATGGAAATGGAAATTTGTCATTCTAGCTAATTTGACCCATGAGCTAGTATATCTCTTTTAATTGGTTTACAAAAAAAAATAAAAATAAATAAATAAAAACAAAAAAAAAACAGCACCGAACAGAAATAAAGCCTTGCTACACTCATTTCTTGCTTTTATATAAACAATATTATGTAATTGTCTTGAATCGGAATTATTAAAATGATACGCCAACAAGTATAAATGTGTAAAGAACATAAAAGGAGTATGTTTTATCTATGATATTATTTGGCAAGATCAAAGTCAAAAAATTTATATATTTTGGTTTTTTAGTTTATTATGTTCTAACCTAAATTTCAGAATAAAGCAGTGGATGGTTTGAATATGTTTTTACTAAAGAAGCATAACCGTAATAAAGAAGCAAAGTCGAATTCCGTTTGGGACTCTGATTATCCAATATAATTAGTCACCAAACGTCCATGAAACCAACAAAAACACATAATATTTGACAACACTGAATTTTCAAATCCACAACTCATGACACCGAATTTGTATTATTCTGACAATGTCAAATTTCAAAACCGCTGTGTCATTAGTTTTGCAACAGCCACCTACTCAGGTTACAGTAACATTAACATGCACTAATTTGTAACTAATACTCTACAAGTGTGTCAGAGTGTCTAAGGCTGGGCGCGCCTAATGATTCTGATGCTCATGACACTATTGACTGACATGACACACTGATTGATATTCTAATTCAATCAGTCATGCAAAGAACCTTTAGTTTTAACCTATCATTGGTTTTAAGGGGAAAGAAACGACCTTTGCATTTGGTGACTAATGTTTTTCTTTTTCAAAAAGTAGGTCACAGAACTTATTGAGGTAATAAATTAAATGTGTATGTGTATGTGTATTTGTTTGAGATGTCTTGTAAAAGTCTCTATTATTCTATTATGAGATTGATTTATGAAAATTTTCTTTATTGTGTTAAGATTCAATTATAAACTGTTATTATTCAATTTATTAGTTATGTATAAATAGATGTACATTTATTTAGTCACCAAATTCTATGCAACATTTTTCTTAAATCACTGTAGTCTACTAATTTTTTTCTTTTGCTCAAAAATTTAAATTTGTTTCATCTCTGCTTAAAAAAACCTCATGCGTGTAGTTGGCATTTGAATGAATGATTGGTATTGAAAATTGCTTGCTTTCAAGAATCGTTACGCTAAAATAGCTATATGTTCTGTTTCTGTTTTAAATGTTTTAATCGTAATGTATATTGTAATAATTAGATATAATAGAAAAAATTTGAAAACAAGAATTTCTTAATTATAATTACTAGATGTTACCCACGGGCTTCACCCCGTTTGACTTCATAAGTATTAATAAAACTAATGATTGGTTAAGTTAAGGTAAAAAAAAACAAAACAGAATACAGTAATACACAAACAATCACACCTGATAAGGTAATTAATTGAATGAATAACAAACAAATAAGTACATCTGAGGTATTTTTTACATTAGGTATATGGAAAAATCCTTTTAGAAAAGAATTACGACCTTAAAGGGCAATTTATGGAATAATGGATAGTTTTGCGCAAGCTTTCTCGTCGTGACGAAATTTTTAAGTATATGGTTTATGGGGGTATGACTTGTGGCTTTCTCAAAAGTTCATGGGTACTTTGGGATTTATATATGGATAACCCAAAACTGCCTTTAGTGATTGCATATACATATACATATTGTATAGCATATATTCTGATATGTATAGTTGCATTTGCATATATGTTTACTGCATGTGTATGTTTACTTAGCGAACATAGTTTCCAACTCTCATCGTATTGCGGTTTTATAGTTCTTCTGACCCATATTTAGATGGGCAAATTAGCATCCAGCGAGCCAACGTAGGAAATTAATTTTCCACACATTAATGTGCAATTCCTCCAAATAGTACAATTGACTCGCCCAAAAGAAACTCAGATAAACAAAACGACCAGCAATTATGCTATTGAGTCCTAACACGCAAATGCGAAGAAGATCAATTACATTTGGACATTTACATAATTGTATTGTTGGCAGGAAAGACATAAAACGCCAAATGTTCCGTGCAGTACATGATTCAACATGCGAATTCAGTGGCAAGCCTGTAATTGAAGGAATGCCTTGTAATTATTGTGTAAGTATGATCCCTGAATATTCAGGATCTTTCAGGAAAGGGTTTTTTTTACTCTTAGCTCGATCGAAAACAGACATAACCAAATTTATGTCACTACAACATAATGTGTTAAGTTACGACTGACCAATATTTAATAAATTCGTAGCAGGATTTTTGACTGGCATTTGACATTTTATTTTCGGTTTCACTAAGGTCACAGAAAACGTACTACGTTTTCTGTGCTAAGGTTTGGATTTCTGTGTAGTGGAGCGTAAACGTATTCCCGCCTGAATTCAAAAAAGGTTAATCATGGAGTAGAGCGAATTGGTATCGAAATCATAGATAATACAACAGATTCCCTCGTAGATTTGTCATCCTTATGAATAACTTTAACAGTGTTAAAGAGCGATTTCGTCTAGTAAGTAGGGTAGTTTTACGTTCCCTTATTCATTTATATTTTTATTTTAAAAGCGTCTAAATTATTTTAACTAAATAAAACTATAGATATTTTCAACCTTTAGGAGATACAATAGTTTGACTGGCCCGAAAGTAAAGTAAACATTAAGGACTATATACGAGTATTATTTAACACATCTTAAATAAAACTGTCAAAACAATATGTTAGTGTAATTAGTGTGTGATTTGGGCCAGTTACGTCATTTAAATATGTTAATGATACAGCTTTCTTATATTCGTGGTATTAAATATAGTCAATATCAAAATGTCCACACGACCAGTAGAATATGCAACGTAATCTATTTCAATATTGATTCTTTAACAGCCGGTCCAACCATATACATCTGAGTAATCTGTCTTAAAGATTATTGCGAATTTATTTTAGAGAAACAGTTTATTAGTTTATTCAAAATTATAAAGCGGGGTTTTTGACTTTCAATCATAGATTTTTAAATAATTGCTAAGCGAATTTTCTACTTACTAAAATTGAAAGGGACTTCTAGCAGTAACATGAAAAATATCCGTATGGTCACGTGGTCACGTGGTGCAGTTAGTGCTGCCAACCTAAACGTGCCATCGCAGAAAATGGACACAAAAATTTATAGAAAAGCTTAACAAAAACACAGCACTAATAAAAACACACGTAAACAATAAACACACAGTATGAACACACATGTGGCGCATACAAGTAACAGACGCGTACTGAGCTGGAGTGGAGTCCAGCGAGAAATTAAAACGTAAACAGTATTAATAGAGATAAAAAAGAACAATGAAATACGGCGAGAGAAAAAGTAATTGACTAAAGCGATTGCTATTGGTCAGCGTCCGGCGTTTGTTTTTGTTGGAGCAGAGAGAAAAACCGAGAGAAAGAGGGAGGGGGTGGAATGAAAAGAGACAGAGGTTCGTTTGAAGTGTTTAGTGGTTCGGGATGAAAGTAAAGAGCCGAATTTGAGCGGTCCTTATAGCATTGATGAGGAATCCGACCTTCAATAGTAATGTGGTTGGTATCGTTGGACTCGGACTGGTAATTTCTGTGGGTAATAAAATGAATTAAAATTCAAAATTTTATTGGTATGTTATCATATTTGGAATGTGTGCAGTAATTTAAATTGGAAGTAATGACAGTAATCCAGCGGATGATAGTGAATAGGTTGGGTGTGAAGTAATGAGGTTCAAAATTATAGACGGTTATGGTTTTTTTTTAAGGAAATCAGCATGACACAATCAT